CTCAATAGTCTCTGATGGGGGGACCCTGTCAAAAGCCCTTACTGAAGTCCATATACACAATATCATATTCATTACCATGATCTACCTCCTCAATACCTTAGTGAAAAAAGTTAATAAATTCGTAAGGCAGGAACGCCCCTTTGTAAACCATGCTGAGATTCGTTGATTAATTTATGTTTTTCAAGGTGGCTACGAACTGCCTCGGCAATTATTTATTCCCTAAATTTTCCCACTATGGAGGTTAGGCTTATTGGTCTATAGTTCGAAGCTAAGGACCTGTCACCTGTTTTGAAAATAGGTATCACATTTGCCATTTTCCACTTATCTGGCACCATGCCAGTTTGTAGTGAAATGTTGAAAAGATTAGCCAAAGGTGTGCTAAGCTCCTCTTTACATTCCTTTAGAACCTTGCATACAGTTCATCAAAGGGGCCCGGGGATTTGTTAGGTTTTAATTTATCTATTTGCCCAAGGACCATGTCACTTGTGACCCTAATAGTGCACAGTTTATTATCGTCCTGTTCTACATAATTTATCATTACTGGAATATCGTTGGTATCCTCCTGTGTAAAACTGAGAGGAAGTATGTGTTAAAAATTCTAACATTTCCTTATCACTGTCAGTGAGCTGACCCGAGGAACTTTTGAGTGGGCCTATCTTGTCCCCCGATCTTACTTCTGTATACCTGAAAGAATCCTTTTGGGTTAGTCTTTGATTCTCTTGCAACTTTAACCTCATAATCTCTTTTTGCTTTTCTAATTCCCTTTTTATTCCTCTTTAACTGAATATATCGTTTTCCAATTCCCCCTCTCCTCTTTTAAATTTGCCTTATATGCCTCTTTTTGACCATCAGATATTTTAATCTATTGTTCACCATTAGGATCTTTTTTGTTTGATTATTTCCCTTTTTGGGAAACTAATTTGACTGAGCAGCTAGAACTTCCCCTGGAAAGCACAATCGGAAACCCATCCCACCCCCTGACCCTTAGTAGGTCTTCCAGTTCAGCCCACCTAAGTAATTTTTTCATCCTATAAATCAGCCAGCGAAAGTCGGGGAGGGAGACTTGATTGCCATTTTAGGGGAATTCCATGATATATTAAAATGAGGATTGTGACCTTTCCCCAAAGCTCATCCAAAAAAACCTCAAGTTATTAATTAGTGTTTCCTATGCAAGAACCAAGTAAGGAGGTTATTTCCCTATTGGCTCGCAAAAAACTTTTTAAAAAACAATCCTGGACTTTCAAGAAAGCCCCTCTCTAAATTTCCTGAAAATTGCCCCAGTAATCTGCTATAGTTGAAATCTCCCATTAGCACAACATTTTCGTATGTAGATCCCTTACGAATTTCGTCCATGAAGTTTACTGCACTCCCTATCAAGTTTTGGGGGCCCCTGAAAAAACACCCCCAAAAATTATTTTTTTCTCCCCCCTCAGAAGCGTAACCAAAAGATTCAGTGGGTGATGCTTTTAATTTTAAAATCTTGTCTAACACAACAATTTTAAAAATTTTCTTGCATCCGCTACCCCACCCCCTTTTCCTGTTGACCCCTGTCATGTGGAATAATTTTTAGCCTTGTATGTGAATTCAAGGGATCTCTCTTCTTTCAGATTGAGCCAGGCTCTGTTATAGCAATAAATCTAGTTTCCTGCACTTGCAATTAATCTTTGCTATCTATCTTTTTTCTTCACTCCTGCATTAGTATGTAAAACCCTTAAGGGGGCTAGTCCCCTTTCTGCCCCTGCTGTCCCCCCTTTTTTGCTGACCGATCTATTGTCTTTATTTATAATTATGCTGAATGCCTTTTTTTCAACTGTTTCCAACCCAAGTTTGCAACCTGCTTGTTTCCCACACACACCCCTACCTCATCTTCCATCAGTTTAAATCATGGCATTTTACCAATGGCCTTCTAATCGAGTCTGCAAATGCTACCCCCAGCCCCGGAATGCCCCCTCCCTTGCATAATATCATGTTTGCCATAAAGTTGTTCCCGTTGTCAATGAATGGGGTTTCAAAATTTCCTTTCAGTATCTGCTAGCCAGCAATTTTCACCCAATTTTCCCCAGACAAACCCTTCATTTTCCCACTCCCTCTGGCAAAATGCTCATATGATGGGGTCCCTCCCTTAGATTAATGAAATCTAAGTGACCTGTACTTACTAGAGCTCTTCTCTCCTACCCTTCCCAATATCATTTCCACCAGCACTGAGACAGATAATGGGCTTGCTCCCATTACCTGACATGATATTATCCAGCCTGTTGACAATGTCCCCAACACCAGCTCCAGGGAAGCACACTCTATCTCTCATCTTCTTATTCCTATTACAAAAAGCACGGTCAATGTATCTTACCTGAGAGTCACCAACCACAAGAATGCGCTTACCTCCATTAGCAGGGGCAGTAGTACCCTTACCTTCACTGGCCACTGAAGTACATTCATCCTGAAGAACAGAGAAGCGATTTCCTACCTTCAGATCTTCACTCTTAACTTTCCTTACTCTGATGCGCCTTCCATTACTGTGAACTACTCGCCACTTGTAGCAGGTGCTGGGCTGCACCTCACTGCTGGTAGCCGTTGCTGCCTCCCAACTACAGCCTCCTCACAGCGAGAGACAGACTGCACCTCGCTGCTAGAAGCCTCATTCCCCACAACTCCAGCCACCTCACACTCTCTCCCAGACCCATTGAGGTGGACCTTCAGCCTCCTAATCTCCTCCTGGAGAAGCAAGACCTCCTCCTTCAACTCTCCAACCTCAATTTTTAAAACACTGCAGAAGCAAGCCATGCTTTGTAACCGTCCACACTAATCCCCAAAGCAGCTCAGGGTCTGTGACCTCACGTGACGACTGACCACTGAGTCTTAAAACTGTGTATGGTTCCTGCCTCCACTATGTCATTTTCTAGGCTATTCCACTGCCTTACAACTCTATGACTGAAGAAATACTTCCTAATATCTCTCTTGACTCATTTGTGTCGTTATCCTGTCTCCCCTGACCCTCCTGTCCTCCAGTGTCGTCAGACTGTGTGTGACTGTGTGTGTGACTGTGTGTGTGACTGTGTGTGTGACTGTGTATGTGACTGTGTATGTGACTGTGTGTGTGTGTGTGTGTGTGTGTGTGTGTGTGTGTGTGTGTGGGGTGTGTGTGTGTGTGTGTGTGTGTGTGTGTGAGTGTGTGAGTGTCTACCCTTGTGTGTGTGTGCTTGTGTGTGAGGGAGGGAGGGTTAGGGGGGGTAGGTTGTGTGGTTGAAAGATCCGTCGTGTAGGCACAAATTTAGTCTCATTTATCTTTCCCAATTATCTACTCTCTCCACTTATTGCCCTTTCTGGATTTACGTATTAATTGTTGCTGGTTATTATCATTTTCCTTGTTCACATTGAGAGAGGACTTCCTAGCTTCCTAAGTATTCTTACTGCTAATAACTACCGGTAGTAACACTGCCTGTGTGTGTGTGTGCATGTGTGTGTGTGTAAGTGTGTGTGTGTGTGTGTGTGTGTGTGTGTGTGTGTGTGTGTGTGTGTGTGTGTGAGAGAGAGTCTTGTGCGGTGTAATGACTGGCCGCAACTTCTTTTGACCTGACACAACCCTCCTGGGACCTGACCCTAGCACCGTCTTACAATGTTGCCCTTAAAAGCTTGTGTGTGTGTGTATGAGTGTGTGTGCGTGTGTGTGTATGAGTTTGTGTGTGTGTGTGTGTGTGTGTGTTTATGTGTGTGTGTGTGTGTGGGTGTGTATGAATTTGTATATATGTGTGTGTGTGTGTGTGTGTGTGTGTGTGTGTGTGTCAACAATCAATATTTGCACCAATAACTCATTACAGTTGTGACCGGGTGTGGAAGTGTGAATTGCTCATTACACTATAATTTGTTCATGATTGTAGCCATGTATAAACGTAAGTAACCATTCTTACAGTATTCATTACCTTTGTAACTTGTGAGTTCATTACCTTGTACCTAGTTCAGCCATCAAAACTTTGGGGGCCCAGTCCCTGGACCTATTACGTACCTCTGTAATCTGTAAATACCTTTGTAACTTGTCATGATTGTGACTAGACCTACCTGAAGTTCATTACCTTTGTAAATTGTGAGTTCATTACCTTTGTAAATTGTGAATTCATTACCTCTGTAACTTGCTCAGCTATCAAAACTTTGGAGTCCAGTCCCTGGACCAATTATGTACCTCTGTAATCTTTTGACTACCGCCCACAGGATGGGTATGGGGTGCATAATAAACATATTAAACTAACTAAGAAAACTATCATTAATATAGAGGGTAAATGCTTCTTTGAGCATTTCAGTCACCCATTGGATGCTGAAGCATATGTTAAATTTTTTTACATGCTGACTTGGATGTTACATCAGTGAAGCTGAAACCATTACTTGCACTGAGAATCAAAAGCATGTAGAGATGATGATAATAACTTTCCACACATATTTAAAAGTATGAACAACACAAAAAGCAAATGCATAAGTAAAAGGAATGAGAAAAAATGATAAACAGCAGTCACCATAAATACAGTAATGCTGATGATAAAATGAGGTAGAGCAAAGAATTAATGCAGCAGTGTGAATAAGACAAAAAAAACTCAACATGGCAGCATGGAAGATTTCCGTGATCAAATGAGGTCAAAAGGATTAGAATGTTATACAGTATATATTATAATCCAAGTAAGACAGAATAGTCCAAATTATGCATATGGAATACATTTGTTAGCAGATGTGACTATGCTCAATTTAGGTGACCTATGGTCACTATTCTTATCTTATTGAATCTCAATGTTAGTGAATTAGCATTTATTTTATAAAGGTCATCAGAACAGTAATATAAAACATAAGTATGTACAGTAATGATTCTTGTACATTTCAAATGTGATGTCTGCTTACTTTTGACAAGACAACTATTGAATGAATAATGGTGAATGCATTTCCTCTCATTGGGTCACCTTCCCTTGGTGGGTGACAGATGGTGCACTTTCTTTTTTTTTTTACAAATATTAAAATCCTACTTGTTTTGGTTAATGGTATATCATTTGGGCCCAACTCTCCATCCTGCTTCAGATCATTCCAAATTGTGTCTCCTGGTCCAAGAGGGTCAAATCCAGGACAGTTGGACACTGATACTCCTGTCTGTAGGCAAGAATGAGTCTGTAATTCATCTACATTTTCTAGAGTGCATACAAAAAGCAGACATACACCAGCCAAATTGATAATCAAACAATCAGCCACACAAAGGATATTTACTGATCTAACAATGAATAAAAAAGTGTGGAATGTAGTGACATTTGTCTCTGACAAGTGTGCAGTGTGCCTCTGTAACACTGGATATTCTTCATTGTGATGTAAACAACTCACTACTACTGTTCCTGACTCAATAAATGGCTCATCACTACTTTAACTCTCTTCACAAGCTGATACTGGTGCCTAGTCCATGGACATATTATGTGCCTCTGGAATCTTGGGACTGCCACCAGCAGGATAGGTATGGACTGCATAATAAAATCATCAAACTAGCTTAAACCTGACAAGTGTCGACAAGAGCACATAATAATTTTTAAGTTAAAACAGCTGCCATAAAGGAAGTGGTTGATGACCCTGTAGTGTAACAAGTTAGCAGGATGCGATGTAAATAGTTTAGAGAACGAACAAGTTGGAGAATAAGACACTTGTGCAACGATACTTTTCTCAAGATTGATGGACTGAACATATCGACTCCAGGCTGATTACCTCAAACTCCTCATCTTCCACTGTTCTTCTGTGTAATGAACTGAAAAAGCCACAGGCTGGCAAAACTTTTCAGAAATATTTCCAAATGTTGCACCAGTGTCTCATTCTTCAATTTATCAGGAATTTAATAATCCTTTATACAAGACACTGAAGGAAACAATTGTGCCACTCAAAAGCTGCATGCTGCCCAGTGGCTGCAGGTCATGTCTCCCTTCTGTAGGGTATGAATGATTTTTAATTTTATGCTAAGCATGAAAATCTACAAGGCATGTTTGAAGTTTTGATCTGACAAATCAGAATCACTGAAGACTTGTTAAAAAAAAACAAAAAAAAAAAAAAAATGAAAATGTGGACAAATATGCAGTAATATATTAAGACTGGTAAGAACTGAAGAGGGAGGATATATCATTGAAACATAAATCCCCAGGCCTTAAAGTTTTGTATAGGCAAATGTAATTTGGTGAATGAATTCAGAAAAATATTTAGTATTAATAAAATTCACCAGTGAAGAAAGCATAAAAAAAAAATCTCAAAAGATCAGAGTTCCCAGGGAAAACAAGGCATCAGAGATAAACAAATGTTTGAACATACTGTGAAAAACCAAACATTCTGGCATTCAGCATTATTTTTTGAGCACTCCAAGTTTATCAAATAAAAAGAAAGAAATGCAAACTGTAAGAAACTAACCTGCTCCCTGATAGCTAAACAATAACGGAGATTAAGACTTCTAAGAGTCTGATGCAACACAATGCCTTTGACTCTAGTGCTCTCGTGTGCCTGTTCAAATACTTCACTCCAGCATTCCCCTAAAAAGTACATGAACCATTAACAAAAAATTACTCTGCAAAAGCAATGTGAAATTATAAAATAAAGTAATCGTGCATATAAAAACAGAGACAAGAATGTTACCTTGTTCACACTCCAACAGCATGTCAAGTCATAAAAATTATTTGTAACCCACTCTGATTTAACATTCACACACAAGTCTGCTTGGATGCTCAAGCCCCTAGTACTCAAAACCTTAGGCCCCTCCCTTCACTTCTTCCCTGGAATGACCCCAATTACTCCTCCCTTCCATCACAGATATTATTTACTCTCTTGATCACTGCATACTGCTCCATCCTTTCTTAATGACCAAAACCACTTCAACATTCCCTCCATAGCCCTTTTGAGTTATAATCTTTTTTTTTTTATTTTTTACATAAATCAATTTTACAGGCTAAGAGCTGTAATCCTACCTCAGCTCATTTCAAAGCTCAGCCCTATCTGAGGTACACTACCACCCCCCAGGATGCGACCCATACTAGCTGGCTAACACCCAGGTACCTACTTGCTGCTAGGTGAACAGAGGCAGCAGGTGTAAGGAAACATGCTCACTGTTTTCACCCATACTGGGGATTGAACCCCAGACACTCAGTGAGTGAGCTGAATGCACTACTAACTGAGCTACAGGACACCTACCTTTGACAACCTTACTTCACCTTCTAATTTCTATGCTTTGAATTCTCTGCATAACATTCATGCCACATACTGCTCTCCAACATGACAGCTCCACCACCTCAAAATAATGCTCACCATTTTTATCTTCGCTGCCTCCAGTGCCATTTTTGAAGGTAAATGTTATAGATACATCTCTTGGTTCAGCATTATTATTCTCTATATTCCATACAAATACGCCAACAGGCAAGCAAGAATCCTGCAAAAGGACGGGTAAATAATTAAGAGATATTTCACAAAAAAATAACAACAGCTCAAAAGAAATACTATACAGCCTCTCCTCACTTAACGATGGAGCTTTGTTCCTGACACCGCGTTGGTAAACAAATCTGTTACTAAACAAGGAGCATACTATAATGGGTCTATGTCAATCATCTTTGATATTGCTTTAATGTCACCCTTGCACCATTTATAACATTTTTAGTATACTATTTTTAAATGTTTATACAGCAGTGTACTGTATATTGTAATAAACACATTAAAGGAAATCAGCTCTAATGTACATTATTTAGGTATGCATACTGGTCAGAGAGCCTGTCGTAAGTCCGAAACATCGGTAAATGAGTACGTCGCTAAGTGAGGAGAGGCTGTAATGTGTTTGTGTTTTAACCCCTTGACTGTCACAACCCCAAATCCTGAGGTTTCTCCTGGTGTCGCAAAATTTCCCAAAAAAAAAAAAAAAAAAAAAAAAAAAAAAAAAAAAAAAAAAAAAAAAAAAAAAAAAAAAAAAAAATCTTATGAAATGATAGAGAATCTTTTCCCAATTGTCATGACACCAAATGAATGAAATCTGATGGAAAACTGATGGAATTACGCTCTCGTGAAGTTAGCGACCTCGGCAATGTTTATGAATTGGCGATTTTGCTCACTTTGAGCCCTATTTTTGGCTAATTCCATTGTCCCAGTCGACCAAACTCATAGCTATTTCTTTAGAACTTCATTTTTTTCTATCGATTGAGTACAAAAAACTGCCCATTTACCGAATTCAACTACCCAATAACATAGTCAGAATTTGCAATTTGGCCAATTTCACGAAAATTAAAAATATGACAATTTCAAAATAGGGTCCAGAATGAACAATGCAGACATTCCTGGCTCTAAAATAACATTTTCTTTGTTCATCAGTCACATCTCCAGGCCCCTCTGATAATACTCTTGCTGTCTATTTTAAATTTTTATTCAAACAAAAAATAGAAGATCTACTGTTATGCAGACTACTACAATATTGTAATAATTGTATAAATAACGTCAACCCATTCATGACTGCATATTTGAATGGCTACTTGGACATTTATTGGAAAATAACTTTGTTTACTTTTGAACATCGGCAAAAATCAAACATTTCCCCTACTTTGAGCTCCATTTCAAGGTTCTTTTCATAGTAAAAATAATCAAAATCACCTCTATTTCTATAATATGTTTTCCATTCTATCAAATGAGACCAAGAAAACGAGAATACAACCATAAATACTATACGAAAATAGACCACAAAGTCGGCATTTTAATTAAAAAAAAAAAACGGTCAGTTTTTTTTTCTCATTATGCACTGCGTGCTGCAGGATTTTTTTGTATGGTGCACACTGACCCATTCTCTCACATGTGGACCTACCAGCTTTCTCCTGCTTGATTTGAAGGCGCTAGAATTTATGAGTATATATACATCAAAAACGGTGGCTCATAAGACGTATATATACGACCAAAACAGTCAAGGGGTTAAAAGGACAATAAAGGCATTTAATTTATATAACTGAGTCATTAATATTTTGAAAATATTCAAGTATAGGGCAAGGAGGAATAACATCTTGTAGGAGTGAGGAAGAGCCAGTTGTGAGTGTGGGGGAAGTTCGTGAGGCAGTAGGTAAAATGAAAGGGGGTAAGGCACTCGGGATTGATGGGATAAAGATAGAAATGTTAAAAGCAGGTGGGGATATAGTTTTGGAGTGGTTGGTGCAATTATTTAATAAATGTATGGAAGAGGGTAAGGTACCTAGGGATTGGCAGAGAGCATGCATAGTTCCTTTGTATAGAGGCAAAGGGGACAAAAGAGAGTGCAAAAATTATAGGGGGATAAGTCTGTTGAGTATACCTGGTAAAGTGTATGGTAGAGTTATTATTGAAAGATTAAGAGTAAGACGGAGAATAGGATAGCAGATGAACAAGGAGGCTTTAGGAAAGGTATGGGGGTGTGTGGACCAGGTGTTTACAGTGAAACATATAAGTGAACAGTATTTAGATAAGGCTAAAGAGGTCTTTGTGGCATTTATGGATTTAGAAAAGGTGTATGACAGGGTGGATAGGGGGGCAATGTGGCAGATGTTGCAGGTGTATGGTGTAGGAGGTAGGTTACTGAAAGCAGTGAAGAGTTTTTACGAGGATAGTGAGGCTCAAGTTAGAGTATGTAGGAAAGAGGGAAATTATTTCCCAGTAAAAGTAGGCCTTAGACAAGGATGTGTGATGTCACCGTGGTTGTTTAATATATTTATAGATGGGGTTGTAAGAGAAGTAAATGCGAGGGTCTTGGCAAGAGGCATGGAGTTAAAAGATAAAGAATCACACAAAGTGGGAGTTGTCACAGCTGCTCTTTGCTGATGACACTGTGCTCTTGGGAGATTCTGAAGGGAAGTTGCAGAGATTGGTGGATGAATTTGGTAGGGTATGCAAAAGCATTTGATAGAGTGGATAGAGGAGCAATGTGGCAGATGTTGCAAGTATATGGAATAGGTGGTAAGTTATTAAATGCTGTAAAGAGTTTTTATGAGGATAGTGAGGCTCAGGTTAGGGTGTGTAGAAGAGAGGGAGACTACTTCCCGGTAAAAGTAGGTCTTAGACAGGGATGTGTAATGTCACCATGGTTGTTTAATATATTTATAGATGGGGTTGTAAAGGAAGTAAATGCTAGGGTGTTCGGGAGAGGGGTGGGATTAAATTTTGGGGAATCAAATTCAAAATGGGAATTGACACAGTTACTTTTTGCTGATGATACTGTGCTTATGGGAGATTCTAAAGAAAAATTGCAAAGGTTAGTGGATGAGTTTGGGAATGTGTGTAAAGGTAGAAAGTTGAAAGTGAACATAGAAAAGAGTAAGGTGATGAGGGTGTCAAATGATTTAGATAAAGAAAAATTGGATATCAAATTGGGGAGGAGGAGTATGGAAGAAGTGAATGTTTTCAGATATTTGGGAGTTGACGTGTCGGCGGATGGATTTATGAAGGATGAGGTTAATCATAGAATTGATGAGGGAAAAAAGGTGAGTGGTGCGTTGAGGTATATGTGGAGTCAAAAAACGTTATCTATGGAGGCAAAGAAGGGAATGTATGAAAGTATAGTAGTACCAACACTCTTATATGGGTGTGAAGCTTGGGTGGTAAATGCAGCAGCGAGGAGACGGTTGGAGGCAGTGGAGATGTCCTGTTTAAGGGCAATGTGTGGTGTAAATATTTTGCAGAAAATTCGGAGTGTGGAAATTAGGAAAAGGTGTGGAGTTAATAAAAGTATTAGTCAGAGGGCAGAAGAGGGATTGTTGAGGTGGTTTGGTCATTTAGAGAGAATGGATCAAAGTAGAATGACATGGAAAGCATATAAATCTATAGGGGAAGGAAGGCGGGGTAGGGGTCGTCCTCGAAAGAGTTGGAGAGAGGGGGTAAAGGAGGTTTTGTGGGCAAGGGGCTTGGACTTCCAGCAAGTGTGCATGAGTGTGTTAGATAGGAGTGAATGGAGACGAATGGTACTTGGGACCTGACGATCTGTTGGAGTGTGAGCAGGGTAATATTTAGTGAAGGGATTCAGGGAAACCGGTTATTTTCATATAGTCGGACTTGAGTCCTGGAAATGGGAAGTACAATGCCTGCACTTTAAAGGAGGGGTTTGGGATATTGGCAGTTTGGAGGGATATGTTGTGTATCTTTATATGTGTATGCTTCTAAACTGTTGTATTCTGAGCACCTCTGCAAAAACAGTGATAATGTGCGAGTGTGGTGAAAGTGTTGAATGATGATGAAAGTATTTTCTTTTTGGGGATTTTCTTTCTTTTTTTTGGGTCACCCTGCCTCGGTGGGAGACGGCCAACTTGTTGAAAAAAAAAAAAAAAAAATGCAAAAGAAGAAAATTAAAAGTGAATACAGGAAAGAGTAAGGTTATGAGGATAACAAAAAGATTAGGTGATGAAAGATTGGATATCAGATTGGAGGGAGAGAGTATGGAGGAGGTGAATATATTCAGATATTTGGGAGTGGACGTGTCAGCGGATGGATCTATGAAAGATGAAGTGAATCATAGAATTGATGAGGGGAAAAGGGTGAGTGGTGCACTTAGGAGTCTGTGGAGACAAAGAACTTTGTCCTTGGAGGCAAAGAGGGGAATGTATGAGAGTATAGTTTTACCAACGCTCTTATATGGGTGTGAAGCATGGGTGATGAATGTTGCAGCGAGGAGAAGGCAGGAGGCAGTGGAGATGTCATGTCTGAGGGCAATGTGTGTGGTGTGAATATAATGCAGAGAATTCGTAGTTTGGAAGTTAGGAGGAGGTGCAGGATTACCAAAACTGTTGTCCAGAGGGCTGAGGAAAGGTTGTTGAGGTGGTTCGGACATGTAGAGAGAATGGAGCGAAACAGAATGACTTCAAGAGTGTATCAGTCTGTAGTGGAAGGAAGGCGGGGTTGGGGTCGGCCTAGGAAAGGTTGGATGGAGGGGGTAAAGGAGGTTTTATGTGCGAGGGGCTTGGACTTCCAGCAGGCATGCGTGAACGTGTTTGATAGGAGTGAATGGAGACGAATGGTTTTTAATACTTGACGTGCTGTTGGAGTGTGAGCAAAGTAACATTTATGAAGGGGTTCAGGGAAACCGGCAGGCCGGACTTGAGTCCTGGAGATGGGAAGTACAGTGCCTGCGCTCTGAAGGAGGGGTGTTAATGTTGCAGTTTAAAAACTGTAGTGTGAAGCACCCTTCTGGCAAGACAGTGATGGAGTGAATGATGGTGAAAGTTTTTCTTTTTCGGGCCACCCTGCCTTGGTGGGAATCGGCCAGTGTGATAATAATAAAAAAATTCAAGTAATCCTACTTATAATTTTAAGGATAATAATCTTTTCTTAATTATAAATACCATAATCTTGTTATCCTTTATCATTATTTCAATACTGTATTTTCTCTTATAAAAGCTTGTCATCTTGACTTGCAAATGTGAAACACTGTTCATAACTTAAATTACTGGGAATTTAGAGAGACTGGAGAGGGTATTTATATAAATCTGGGGTAGCTGGGAGGAAGGAATACAGGAGGCTTTGAGTGCTAGGGGCTTGACCATTCAACAGGCTTGTGTGAACACATTAGAGCAGAGTAAGTGATGACTAGAGGTTTGTATGGCTTGACATGCTGTTGAAGTGTGAGCAAGGTAACATTTATGAAGGAATTCAGGAAAACATTTAGCCAGACTTGAGTCATGGTGGTGGAAAATATAATGCCTGCATTGTGAAGAAGCGAGAAAGTTGCAATTTGGAGGGTCAGGTGAGCTATGATGTCAGTATATGTCTGGTAAAACAGGGATTGAATGAGTGATGACGAATCTTTTTACTTATTTTGGGGTAAGGTCAGCCTACTTTGGTGGGAGATGTCTGGTGTGCTAAATTTTTTTTTTCAAAACTTTCCTAGCATGTATTATCAACAGGAAGATTTCTTAGGACCATCAACAGGAAGAACAAGAACACAGCAACAGTATAAACTAAGAGGTGCCTAAAGAACACAATTTCTCCTTAGAAGAGTAATAGAATGGTGGAATGGGTTATGAGAAGAGGTAGTAAACACTACGACTGAAATCTTTAAAATATTAAATGACAAATTAAATATCAAAGACAAAACACAATGTGTTTAGTTTTACTCCAGTAGCAACTAATTGGTACTTACAACTTTCGTTTTTCTTTTTGGGCTGCCTTGCTTTGGTGAAATATGGCCAGTTTATTGAAAAAAAAAGTTTAAAACTACACATCATTTAACAATAATAGTGCATATACAATATTAATAATAGTAATCAACACATTATTTCATTCATAAGGGGAGTACTAAACCTGTAGGAGCCCTAAAGAGCACCTTGGGAATGGGCAGTAATCAGGTCTGACCCAAGGACTGGGAGGTCAGGTCCAATTCCTTGGATCAAGAGCCTCTCACCAGCATCAAGAAACCTGTGAGGGAATCAGCACACAAGAACTCTAATATTAACCTTATAATTGTGAGGTATAACGGGTGAAATTTGTCGACAAATCAATCTGATACTCTGCTCCTTAATGTTGTAGACTGTCCATGAGCGAGGGTAGAGTCCACAGTAGAGGCCATCAGCACCGCTGAAGCCCCAGTCCCATGATCCCAATCCCTTTTTGGATTTCCTGAAAAAAGTAATAAAATATCTTTTATCTGTTAAGGAATCTGGGGATCATAGCACCCACAGCCCGATCTCAGAAATAGGAAAAGAAATATTACAGGAATCAGAACTATTAAGAAACCTACAAAAAAATAGAGATAAGTTTATACTGTATGTAAGAAGTAATATTTATATAACAATCACCCTATATTATTATTATATTGTACAGTAATATTTCATGAGAATGGCCAACTCTGAGAAAAAGTCTGAACAAAATATAAACTGCCAACTTATATTTCCAAGGTGTAAGAAAAATGCATCCTTAATTTGTCCCTGCATTATGAAGGAGGGGTGTTAATGTTGCAGTTTTATAACTTCAGTGTCAGCGTGCCCCTGGCAAGACAGTGATGGAGTGAATGATGATGAAAGTTTTTCCTTTTCGGGCCACCCTGCCTTGGTGGGAAATGGCTGACGCATTAAAAAAAAAAAATTATTTATGGCTTACTGATGGGTAGTTAAAAAATCTGCACCACCAACCTGACCTGAGGCCCAGCTCTCCTGGCAACTAACTGCTTGTTCGTGCTATACCATTAAGGTTAAGAAAGTCATTCACTACCATTAATTAAGCATTCAAATGCTCTAACTTCAACTATATAACTACATCAGTAATGTCAAGTAGTTTTAGGTTCTAGTTTTAGTCACCCCAAAATGTTTTGCATAACCAGAGGCTTTTCAGAATATATGAAATGTCACTTAATTTTATAACAATTCTGTATTTTAAAAACAAAATTTTATGTTGAAGGACCCAAATGATGCTGCCTCCCATATTTTTATACACTATTATTATTTTTTCTTGCTTTGGTTTCATCAAATGCATTTTGGTATGATTTTTTGGTATAGGTGTGGCAAGTTTCTGTATGTCTGGCATAAAAAAAAAAATACAAGGCTTGTAGCAGCCCAAAAAGTCTATATCTTGTAACTGTCAATGTAGAAGTGAACAACCTCCTTTCCTAACAATTCTACCTAAGCATTGTTAGGAAACGATATTTCTTTTGTTGTGTGAAAGGGCAGATAATTTATGTAATGAAAATACACTATTACATTGCTAACAACAAAATAACATTTAAAAAAAACTGCTACACTTCATTACCATTTGGCAGTTTCTTTAATGCTCTTTAATCTTCACAATGTTCTACAGTCATAGCTATTCTTCTATCTTTACCTTCTCATTTAATAAACCAATTCTCAATCCTTACATACACACAGTTCTCTCTCAGTATACACAAGTGGTCTCCACTTCACTTACAAAACAGCTAAAGCAGGATGTAGAGTTCTTTACAAAGTGTTTGAAATTCTTTTTATAGACTCTATAATGATATTCTTGTTACGTGTTTTATGTTTTGTTTAGGTCTGTGTTACATGCTGCTTTTTTTGTGTGATAAATGATGTCATAAAACAAATACTAGTGTGACATATAGACTCTGATGATACAGTACACAAGTCCTTTTGGAGTCATTACATACAGCACAGAATTAGTCAGAAATTTATATCAAGATGCAGAAAATTGACTTTCAGTACATGGTCACTAGTGCATTTTTCAAACACTGCTTGTCTGCAACAAAATTTAAATCAATGTTTGTGCTCATTGACATAATTCTGAAAGTGACTGAAGTTTTCTTTGGTAGGTTTGAGAAAGGATGGGTTTAATTTGAGTAAACATTAACATAGGTTCTAGGTAGTAGGCTGGTAGACAGCAACTACCCAGGGAGGTACTACCATCCTGCCAAGTGAGTGTAAAACGAAAGCCTGTAATTGTTTTACATGATGGTAGGATTGCTGGTGTCCATTTTTCTGTCTCATGAACATAAAAGGTTTCAGGTACATCTTGCTACTTCTACTTACATTTAGGTCACACTACACATACATGCACAAGCATATATATACATACATACCCCTCTGGGTTTTCTTCTATTTTCTTTCTAGTTCTTGTTCTTGTTTATTTCCTCTTATCTCCATGGGGAAGTGGAACAGAATTCTTCCTCCGTAAGCCATGCGTGTCATAAGAGGCGACTAAAATGCCGGGAGCAAGGGGCTAGTAACCCCTTTCCCTGTAAACTTTTGTTTTTCCTTTTGGGCCACCCCGCCTCGGTGGAATACGGCCGGTGTGTTGAAAGAAAGATTAACATAGGTATGTGTTTGTTTTCTTAGCTTAGTAAAGATACTTAATATGACTTACCGATGCGTTGATAACACTTTCTGGTAAAGTGTGTTTCCATTAGGATCACGGATTGTCACAATGAATTGATTGGCTATCACTGTCTGGTATTCATAGATACCGGGCACCATTTGGTAGCGACAGAATTCTCCACGAAACCCACGACCAATTGTTCCCGACCCAATACCACCCAAAGGTACTCCTAAAAAGTAATTGTATACAATTAGGCACTATTTATGAAGAGTCTTAAACTGAGAAGAGAATGTTTAATACACAATGTATATAAGGACCCCAATGGAAATATGTCCCTTTGACTTTTTTGGGGGGCTAACCTATGTAATTTACACATATGTTACTATGTATGAAAATTGCACCTATGTGTACCTGTACCTAAATAAACTTACATACTGTACATTGTAAGTTTTTTCTTACCACACTTGACACATACCACCAAGGTAGGGTGTATAACCATATGTGTTGTAGTGAATTGCTTTAGGAAGCATTTCTCAAATACTAAAATTGATGCTACCTACAAGCAAATGTAATTGTACCTTGATGTATATTTAATTACAGTACGAAAGTTCTAAGTTTCTGCATCGTATGTGCAGTACAACCTCTCCTCACTGAACGATGGAGTTCCGTTTGTATGACCACAACGTTAAATGAATCCGTCGCTAAGCAAGGAGCATACTATAATGGTAGTGAGTTTGTGTCAACTATCTTTGATATTATTTTAATGTCAACTTTGCACCATTTATAACATTTATCGTATATTTTTAAATGTTTATACAATAGTGTACTGTTTACTGTAATAAATAGAATAGATGAAATAAACTCTACTATACATTATTTAGGTATGCATACTGGTCAGAGAGCCTGTCATACATGTTCGAGTCGTCAGTAAACGAGTACGTCGCTAAGTGAGGAGAAGCAGTACTATACAGCATAATTCATCATTTGTAAAGCATGGGAATAAGGATATTGTGATTATGCAGTGTTGTTTTGACTAACTGAAACTCTCATTATAACTTATCAAAATAATTACATTTATTGTACTTTTTGTAAATAACATAACATAGAAAATGAAACAAGGCACTCAAAATGACTATTTTTAGTACATAACCCTACACATGTTATGTAAAGAATGTCTCTTGTGTTCCACTGGGTGGGAGAGAGAATGTGAGGGAATTTTACTGAGCAGCTAAAAGGATTTTCAGTTCTCTATATTCACTATTCAAAATTTTAAATTTATTTAACAAACAAAAAGTATGATATCTTGCAATAACTACTGGGAAGATCAGGTTATATCTAAATAATATCTTGCTCAGTACAGTAGGATACCCCGTATCTGCGAGCATACGTTCTAAGGACCTGTCATGGATACCGAAAACGTGGATAGTAGCAAACCCTACATATAAGTCCTATACATACCTATTATAGAGTCTAACTGATAAATTATGCACAATAAGTGGAGAATTATCACTTTTTAACTAATGGGAAGCAATTCACAGCTTCTCTTGGGTCTTGAAGAACTGCCAGCTTCTCTACTTTTGAGCTTTGGGGCCATTATTATGCAAAATTAAGAGGTATTTTTGGGCCACAGTAAACCATGGATAACTAAAACTGCAGATACTGAATCAGTAGATATGGGGGTTCTACTGTATACATACACACACTTACAAATGAGGAATGTAGAAAACAGTGTTTTACAAAAAATGAGTGACACATTATCATTCTTTGTAGCATTATTTTCTATGTGAACTGCTTATTAGGAAATTGAAAACCAGGAATGCAGTTTGTTGGTGAATTGGGAACCTATGGTTTTATATTAATTGGTCAAGACTTTGAAAATCAATTTCATCTTAATATCAGGGTACAATCACTAAGTGTAAAGAGAAGAAAAACTTCGCATTTTCTTTTTTTTTTTTTTGGGGTTACCATGCCTTGGTGGGAGACAGCCACTGTGGTTAAAAAAAAAATCAGGGTACAAAACAGCTGTCCTACATTCAATACACTTGTCACATTTAAAAAAGGAATGTACTGAACCCTATAAACTTAGCATATTTTATGTACAGTGCTATACTATATAACCTAAAATTAATTAATGAGTATGTTTACCACCATGATAAATTATTATACTTATGATGAGATGCTAAACCCATAAGGAAGAGTGGCTGAAATTCCTTAGATCAGGAGCTTATCACCAACATCAACACATTTCTTGATGTACAATATACGAATAACTTGCCCACAACTCATGGTAACATTTCTGTCCAACTTGGACCATTACCTAATGACTAGTTGATGGTCTAAGTTAAACTAAAATGTCATCATAAGTATCATTTTCCTATGTGAGGGTTATTTATGTATTGTTCTAGTCATGGTATTGTGCCTTTTTATTCTTCATCTCTTGATGGGTACCACAATATGGCTTATACTCAAACTACATAAAACTTGCAAATTTAGTTCTTGACTCACCATACATTTGTTTACCGTGCATCATTGTTATGCAGTCAATCCACGGTCTGCGACCTCTTGCTCTCGTGTATAAGTACCACACTAGATACCTGAAGATACACAAAACATTCAGTATCAACCCTACAATTATTCTGTATATAAAATTTTGAATTATAGCTTCCTGATTACACAGATGATGTAGGGACCCAATGAGTTATTAGTTCCATGGAAGAAGAAAATTCAGAATAAAGAAAATTTGGGAATAAAGCTCGAAATATACAGCCAAGTATAAAGGTAATTAATACACACACTGAAAGATAAGGTGAGGCAAAATTTTTTGGGTATTCACCTTAACAGCAAACATTATATGCACACTGGGCTCCACAAACAGCAAATAATTTTACACTATTCATAACAAATTCAAATTCTATTGGCATGCTCACTTAAACAGATTCCAGACAACACCCCCACTATTCAAAGATTCAAACCAATTGAATATACAAAGCATCCATATACAGCCTCTCCTCACTTAACAACATACTCATTTACCAACGACTTGGACTTATGATGGGCTCTCTGACCAGTATGCATACCTAAATAATGTATATTAGAGCTGATTTCCTCTATACTGTTTATTACAATATACAGTACACTACTGTATAAACATTTAAAAATATACTAAAAATGCTATAAATGGTGCAAAAGATGACATTAAAACAATATCAAAGAAGGCTGACACACACCCACTACCATTATAGTATGCTCCTTGCTTAGTGACAAATTCATTTACCGACGTGATCTTAGGAACAGAACTCCGTCGTTAAGAGAGGAAAAGCTGTATACTGTTGTGCATACTACATATATAGAGGACTCAATACTATTATTTACTCAGTTTTAAAACTGTTTATAGAGAGCTTGATTAAAAAAATAGCAGTAGTAGTTCCAATTCCTCAGATCACGAGTGCTTAACCAGTATCAAGGCATCCCCTTGGATGGATGATTTAATAAAGCATAATGAAAACATGGGGAAGCACTAAATTCACAGGGGTCATACAATGCTTGGGGAATGGGAAGCATCAGATTCAATCCATGATATGAGAGGATAGTTCCAGTTCCTTGGACGAAGAGACCTTGAAAGATGTCCATGATTACAATTAATCAACCCAGTTCAGGTAAATAATAAATATCCTTGCATAAAAATCATTTAATAATTTGTCAGGGTTTTTTAACCAAGGGTATCCATACCCCTTTGGGGTATGGGAACCAAATAATGGGGGTATGAGAATCAAATAACAGGAGTATGAGAATCAAATAATGGGGGTGTGGGGACCAATTAATGAGGTATGAGAATCAAATAATGGGGGTGTAGGGACCAAATAATGGAGGTGTGGGGACCAAATAATGGGGTTGTGAAGACCTTATAATGTGGGTGCAGGAACCAAATAATGGGGGCATGGGAACCAAATAATGGGGATATGGGAACCAAACAATGGGGGTATGGGAACCAAATAATGGGGGTATGGGAATCAAATAATGGGGTATGGGAATTAAATAATAAGGGGTATAGGAACCAAATAATGGGGGTTGTGGGACTCAATCTCTGAACAATCTGCCATTTTTTATATAAACAATAAAATCCTTATGATTTTCTTCTTCAGCTGTTGTGTTACGAGCCATCCATATGGAAAGTAAAACCAAGATATTGACATCTTCCGAAATCATAATAGCACTTCATAGGACTGGTGGTACTGGGGATGATTTCGGCAGTCTGGTGAAGGGGGTATCGGGGCATAATATAATTACAATCAAAGCTAAACACTAAACCCATAAGCATAATATAGTTGTAATTGTAAGAAAGGTTAAGATCCCCTTAGTCTGTCTAATTCTTAGTAAAAGTGTAAAAGTATAAAAGTAAAAGGTAAAAAAGTATAAGTACAAGAGTATAAGTAAAAGAAAGTAAAAGTAAAAGAAAGTAAAAGAAAGTATAAGTACAAGAGAGTATAAGTAAAAGAAAGTATAAGTAAAAAAAGTACAAGTAAAAGAAAGTATAAGTAAAAGAAATTATAAGTAAAAAAATATAAGTAAAAGTAAAAAGTGTAAGTAAAGGTACAAGTAAAAGTATAAGTAAAAAGTATAAATAAAGTGTAAGTAAAAGAACGTGTAAGTAAAAGAAAGTGTAAGTAAAAGAAAGTGTAAGTAAGCAAAAGCATAAGTAAAAGTAATTATAAGTAAAAGTAAGTAGTATAAGAAAAGCAAATATAAGCAAAAGTTTAAGTAAAAGTTAGTATAAGTAAAGTAGTCTTTAAGCATTAATTTTCCCGAAATATATTGCGTACTTGTAACTTTCTTTTCTGCCTACCAACGTTTTTTTAATTACATTAAAACAACACTATTTTGCACCGCATAAGGAAAAAAATGTGTACTAGTAGCTATGGCGATGATGACTTGCCTCATGAACAGCGGCATCAGTTGAGGCAGCTGGCCAATTCTTGGCCTGATCCTCTGGTCTCTCCTCTCTGGGAACTTATGGTCAAGGGGAACCACCCAACCATGGCGTGGAAAACGTGAAGCATTATCCAGTTTCTTGGTGACAGCTTCATCCATGATGGCATAGTCCCTCAAGTCTGCCATCACTGACTGACTGACGTTGTTGCTTGTTATTGGGGGTTGTTAAGGGCCATACTTTCCTGGACTGAAAGGTGCTAAGGTTCGATTACCTCGTGAAAGCAAACGTGGTGAGAAATAAGATTTTGTTGGGGGTTTTAACCCCGGAGGGTTAGCCACCCAGGATAAGCCAAGAAAGGCAGTGCGTCATCGAGGGACCTGGAGTATACCTGGAGAGGGTTTTTGGGGTCAACGCCCCCATGGCTTGGACTGTCAGTCTTATTCCTACTGGTCCTCACTCTTTTCCCCCAGGATGCGACCCACACTAGTCGGCTAACACCCAGATACCTACTTGCTAGTTGAACAGGACAACAGGTGTAAGGAAACGAGGCGAATGTTTTCACCCTTGCTGGGAATCGAACCGGACCCTCAGCGTGTGAAGTGAGAGCTTTGCCAGCCAGGCCACGTGGTTGAAGAGACAAACCTGACTTTAAAAAAGGAGACTATGCAGGCATGAGGTAAACCAGCGGAAGGCCTCGGTCAAATGACCAAGAGCTCCAGTGGTGGGTCATCGTATGACTAAAACCCGAGGCAGGAAGTACTTGTCCTGTTTCCTGACAAACCTTACCGATAACATTCTTCTTTGCAAATATACAGGGTCTAAAGCCAGCAACAAATAACAAAATACCTTTCATCCGTGGACTGCTTGCAGAGGCAAAGGCAATGTTCGCGGCTTTCACTGAGACCCACATAAAGGATCACTTGGACAACGAAATATGGATCCCAGGTTACAACCTATACAGATGTGACAGAGTGAACAGGCAAAAAGGGGGGGGGGTTGGCCTGTACATTGCAGAGTCACTTGTTTGCACAGAACTGCTTAATGCCTCAAATGATGTAGTGGAAGTTTTAGCAGTAAAGGTCGAGAACCAAAACCTAGTCATTGTGGTAGTCTACAAGCCTCCGGATGCAACATCCCAGCAATTCCAGGAACAGCTGTTAAAAATTGACCACTGTCTGGAAAATCTTCCAGCTCCTGCACCCAACATCTTGCTCCTGGGGGATTTCAACTTAAGGCACCTAAAATGGAGGAATATAGAAAATAATATTGTTGCAGTAATAACACCAGGAGGCAGCTCTGATGAAAACTCACACTCACACGAGCTTTTAAATCTCTGCACAAAATTCAATTTAAACCAGCAAATAATAGAGCCTACTAGACTGGAGAATTACACTAGACTCATCTTCACTAACAATGACGATCTGATAAGAAATGTCACCATATCAAAAACAATATACTCATATCACAACATAATTGGGGTTCAGACATGTATGCGTGGAGCCCCAGACCGACATAATGAGACTAGTCACGAGGGAGCATTCACCAAATTCAACTTCAATAACAAAAACATAAAGTGGGACCAAGTAAACCAAGTCCTAACCGATATAAGCTGGGAAGATATACTAAGCAACACAGACCCCAACTTATGCCTAGAACAGATTAACTCGGTGGCACTCGACGTATGCACAAGGCTTATTCCTCTAAGAAAAAGGAGGAGTAGATGTAAAATAGAAAGAGACAGGCGCCCCTTTACAGGCGACGGAAAAGAATAACAGAGCGGCTAAAAGAGGTCAATATATCTGAATGCGTAGGGAGACACTGGTCAGAGAAATAGCAAGCATCGAACTTAAGCTAAAAGAATCCTTTAGGCGTCAGGAATCGCGGGAAGAACTAAAAGCCATAAATGAAATCGAAAGAAACCCAAAGTATTTCTTCTCCTATGCAAATCAAAAATCGAGAACAACGTCCAGTATTGGGCCCCTACTTAAACAAGATGGGTCCTACACAGATGACAGCAAGGAAATGAGTGAGCTATCAAGTCCCAATATGACTCAGTTTTTAGCAAGCCGCTAACCAGACTGAGAGTCGAAGATCAAAATGAATTTTTTATGAGAGAGCCACAAAATTTGATTAACACAAGCCTATCCGATGTTATCCTTACGCCAAATGACTTCGAACAGGCGATAAATGACATGCCCATGCACTCTGCCCCAGGGCCAGACTCATGGAACTCTGTGTTTCATCAAGAACTGCAAGAAGCCCCTATCACGAGCCTTTTCCATCCTATGGAGAGGGAGCATGGACACGGGGTCATCCCACAGTTACTAAAAACAACAGACATAGCCCCACTCCACAAAGGGGAAGTAAAGCAACAGCAAAGAACTACAGACCAATAGCACTAACATCCCATATCATAAAAATCTTTGAAAGGGTCCTAAGAAGCAAGATCACCACCCATCTAGAAACCCATCAGTTACACAACCCAGGGCAACATGGGTTTAGAACAGGTCGCTCCTGTCTGTCTCAACTATTGGATCACTACGACAAGGTCCTAAATGCACTAGAAGACAAAAAGAATGCAGATGTAATATATACAGACTTTGCAAAAGCCTTCGACAAGTGTGACCATGGCGTAATAGCGCACAAAATGCGTGCTAAAGGAATAACAGGAAAAGTCGGTCGATGGATCTATAATTTCCTCACTAACAGAACACAGAGAGTAGTCGTCAACAGAGTAAAGTCCGAGGCAGCTAAGGTGAAAAGCTCTGTTCCACAAGGCACAGTACTCGCTCCCATCTTGTTCCTCATCCTCATATTCGACATAGACAAGGATGTCAGCCACAGCACCGTGTCTTCCTTTGCAGATGACACCCGAATCTGCATGACAGTGTCTTCCATTGCAGACACTGCAAGGCTCCAGGCGGACATCAACCAAATCTTTCAGTGGGCTGCAGAAAACAATATGAAGTTCAACGATGAGAAATTTCAATTACTCAGATATGGTAAACATGAGGAAATTAAATCTTCATCAGAGTACAAAACAAATTCTGGCCACAAAATAGAGCGAAACACCAACGTCAAAGACCTGGGAGTGATTATGTAGGAGGATCTCACCTTCAAGGACCATAACATTGTATCAATCGCATCTGCTAGAAAAATGAAAGGATGGATAATGAGAACCTTCAAAACTAGGGAGGCCAAGCCCATGATGACACTCTTCAGGTCACTTGTTCTATCTAGGCTGGAATATTGCTGCACTCTAACAGCACCTTTCAAGGCAGGTGAAATTGCCGACCTAGAAAATGTACAGAGAACTTTCACGGCGCGCATAACGGAGATAAAACACCTCAATTACTGGGAGCGCTTGAGGTTTCTAAACCTGTATTCCCTGGAACGCAGGAGGGAGAGATACATGATTATATACACCTGGAAAATCCTAGAGGGACTAGTACCGAACTTGCACACGAAAATCACTCACTACGAAAGCAAAAGACTTGGCAGACGATGCACCATCCCCCCAATGAAAAGCAGGGGTGTCACTAGCACGTTAAGAGACCATACAATAAGTGTCAGGGGCCCGAGACTGTTCAACTGCCTCCCAGCACACATAAGGGGGATTACCAACAGACCCCTGGCAGTCTTCAAGCTGGCACTGGACAAGCACCTAAAGTCAGTTCCTGATCAGCCGGGCTGTGGCTCGTACGTTGGTTTGCGAACAGCCAGCAGCAACAGCCTGGTTGATCAGGCTCTGATCCACCAGGAGGCCTGGTCACAGACCGGGTCGCGGGGGCGTTGACCCCCGGAGCTCTCTCCAGGTAAACTCCAGGTAAACCAGGCATGAGGCAATTCCTAAGTGGAATGTCGTGGGAAAGGGAGCTAAATGGAAAGACTAAATAAAATAATAGAATATGAAGCTGGAAAGTGCGGGAAGACAGATGAGAAATTCATACTCTGAAGCAGAAGCACAGACAAGAACAGATTGAGCTCATGGTTCAATCACCCAGAAGTACAAGGAGGCAATAGCTAAAAGTGTAAGAATGTGGAAGAAATATAGAAAGCCAAGAATGCTGAAGAACAGGAACATGATCAGTAGAGATAGAGATTAATATACTTGGGTAAATATGAGGCCAAACAACCTGAGAATGACAGCAATCGAGAGCCAAATATAAGACAGGGTTATTATATAGCCACATTAGAAAGAAGACAATTGAGAAGAACCTGGTAATAAGGCAGAAAAGAAAAATAGAGGGGAGCTCATTAGGGATGACCAAGAAGTCTGCGAGGAGCTGAAAAAAAGATTTATGTAGGTATTCTAAGTAGAATCGGGAACATTGCCAGAGAGGCAAAGAGGGAGAATGCACCAAGTACCAGACAGTGCACAGAACGGAAAGTGAGATAAAGAAACTACTGGGTGAGTTAGGTGACTCGAAGACATTAGGACCGGACGTATCACGATGGGTTCTCAGAGAGGGAGCAAAAGCACTGTGTTGACCACTAGTAACAATCCTCACCAATTCATTTGCAACAGGGAAACTGCCAGATGTTTAGAAAACAGCCTAGTTCCAATATTTAATTAAGGGGACAGACAGGTAGCATTAAACTACAGGCTAACGTCACTGACATGCATAGTATGTAAGGTTATGGAGAAGATTATCAGAAGTGATGCGGATTTGTAAACAACAGCTAATATACCTGGAGTTTACCTGGAGAGAGTTCCGGGGATCAACGCCCCCGCGGCCCGGTCTGTGACCAGGCCTCCTGGTGGATCAGAGCCTGATCAACCAGGCTGTTACTGCTGGCTGCACGCAAACCAACGTATGAGCCACAGCCCGGCTGGTCAGGAACCGACTTTAGGTGCTTGTCCAGTGCCAGCTTGAAGACTGCCAGGCGTCTGTTGGTAATCCCCCTTATGCATGCTGGGAGGCAGTTGAACAGTCTCGGGCCCCTGACACTTATTGTATGGTCTCTTAACGTGCTAGTGACACCCCTGCTTTTCATTGGGGGGGATGTTGCATCGTCTGCCAAGTCTTTTGCTTTCGTAGTGAGTGATTTTCGTGTGCAAGTTCGGTACTAGTCCCTCTAGGATTTTCCAGGTGTATATAATCATGTATCTCTCTCACCTGCATTCCAGGGAATACAGGTTCAGGAACCTCAAGCGCTCTCAGTAATTTAGGTGTTTTATCTCCGTTATGCGTGCCGTGAAGGTTCTCTGTACATTTTCTAGGTCAGCA